TACTGCCTGCCGCTAAAGAGGAGGGTAAGAGACTTAAAAAGCGATACGCCGTATTTAATTTCGATGGTAGCTTGGCTGAATTGAAGGGCTTCGAGGTTAAACGGAATGGAGAGCTGCAGCTTATCAAAATCTTTCAGTCGGCCGTTTTTGAGGCTTTTCTGGGTGGAAGCAACCTAGAAGAAGTTTATGTTTCAGTTGCTCGCGTCGCTGACCATTGGCTCGATGTGCTATATGCTCATGGTGCCGGTTTGCACGACGAGGAACTGATTGACTTGCTGGCAGAGCGTCGCAGCATGTCTCGCCGATTGGCGGATTATGGTGAGCAGAAATCGACTTCAATCAGCACGGCACGCCGGCTAGCTGAGTTTCTTGGTGATTCGATGGTCCGAGATGCAGGCCTTAATTGCCGATTTGTTATCTCCAAGCAGCCCGAAGGTGCGCCTATAACCGACCGAGCCATTCCACTGGCTATTTTTCAGGTAGATTTAACCAATTTATAAATTATTTTGCTGAAATTAATTTAACAGTCGTTACACTATTTTATTTCGAACAAACAACTAAACTTAAGCTTTTTGGGAAGTCTCAGTAAAAATCCCGCATAAATATGCAAAATAAACATTTTTAAATTAAAGCAAATATAGCCCAGATGAAGGGCCTTTGAAAATGGTCTTTAAATAATTTTAATCGAAGATATGAAGACCAAGATGGTGTGGTTTTGTGTGTGCTCGCAGTTTTCTTTCGTTGTATAGAAGTTGTTTGACCTTGTTTTCGCAACTTGGTAATATTGGTAGGAAGATTTAGAGGAACGCACCTAGTCAGGATTCCATTGTATGCATGATCATTTCCAGAGTCGGATCGTGGAGGTGGTATATCCCCAGACGTTTCGCCGGCATCGTCAGTGAGTCTTGCCATTCTTAGCACCACACCACAACTCGTCAAAGAGACAAGTGAAGCCCATCCTTTGACTAAATGTGTGTTAAACAGTTATGGTATCTCTTCTGTCATGGGCTATTCACCTTTCCTATATCCTCGTATCACGCCTTCACTATCACAATTTTCTTTTTACTTTTTTTCCTCGCTTTTTTAAATGTACTGTGATGTGCCCTTATGAGCTGCTTTCATGAGAACCTTCCACACTACGCTGGAGTTCTCACCCCCTTCACCTTTGTGCTGGGAAGGTTGATTAGAGTCTACCATGTTCTTACGCAGTTCTCCTTCACTAGGTCTTATCAGAGTCTCCCTCTTGCCCTGTAGAATCCGTCGGCTATCGCCCTAGGTCAAGTATTTCACTCGATCCCTGCCACCCCATCTGTTCTACTCGAGGCGTTATGACTCCTCCACTGCGTCTGGGTGACTAATTCAAGGCTTAAGCTTCTGAGTTGTCATCGTGATCAAGCCTTTGCTTCATGGACCACGTCTATGATAAAGCACATCTACTGTCAGCCACCTAGCTCCAGTCTCCGCCGCATCTATCCTGTTTCCATCTCTAATACCAAGTCTATGACTTGCTATGCCCTAGTCTCTTGTATGCCAACTAACAAACGTTGTGGTTCAACATTGAACCTAATCAAAGCAAGCAGTATCACAAAATTTGTGGGTTGGCTCACAAGAGACTATGGCATAGCAAGGGCACTTCACACTAAATTTAAATAAGCAGGGAAATAATTGTGATAGTAAAGACGTGATACGAGGATATAGGAAATGTGAATAGGCTATGATAGAAGGAGAGATAACACAACTGTTTAGCCAATATTTGGTCAAAGGATCGGCTTCACTTGTCTCTGACGTGTTTTAGCTTGGTTTGCTGAGAAAGGCAAGACTCATTTACGATGCTGGCGAAACGTGGTAATGTACCACGTCCACGGTCCGACTTTTGAAATTATCAGGCATACAATAGACTCCGGACCAGGTGCGTTCCTCTAAGTCTTCCTACCAATATGGCCAAGTTTCCAAGACAAGGTCAAACAACTTCTATTCAAATTATTAATTCATTTTACTACAATATACAATTATTTTACTCCTACTGTGATTTCCTTTTACTGCCCTTGGTCTAAAAGTAGAAACAAACAAGATTGAGACTCTCTTTTAGCTATTATGGTATGTATCTCATTAGCCAACCCTCTTTCCTAGATCAATTTCAGCCTTGCTTCATCAATCTCCCTTCTCAATTATTGTTAATCCTTTACTTATTCAAACGACTAATTTAATGCACCTTCTCGACTTCGCATCCACTCATGCGTTTTATGCACAGGCCGAGACTGCAGTGCGTCGACATTTTTTACGCAAGTGGCTTCGTGACCCCAGTGTATCATCTGAACTTGGCTTTCGTGATATTCTTGATTGGGCGTATTATATCGAACGACTGAATAGTACTATTCAGAAGATCATTACAATTCCAGCAGCACTCCAGCAGGTGCCGAACCCTGTACCAAGAGTATCCCATCCTGACTGGTTACTTCGTAGATTAGCTGAAAAAACGGATACACGTCGACAAACCCGCTTGACCGACATGCTATTGCCTGGCAATAGCCAAAAGGCTGAGTCTCATGTTATTGACATTGAGGACATTGCCGATGATACAAAGTTAGAAGTGTATACTTTTTTAATTTTATCTAATAGCATTCATCATCAATGGTCCTCTTGCCTTAAGCTTGAAAGTAACTAATATTCATAGATATAAAGACCAAGATGGTGTAGCCTTCTGTTTGGTCCCGATCTTTTTTAATATTAACTAATATTGCAGGTATGAAGACCAAGATGGTGTGGCCTTTTTTGTGGTCGCAGC